GATTTCAGTTTAACTTCAGTGAACGTGTAATTATTCCACAAAATGCATAAATGTAATTGGTAAATAAATAACATGAACGATAATTAATATTGAAATACAAAAATAGATGGCAAAATAAATTATAAATTCAAAATAATACTTGGCACCTTATATTTACATAAAAGTTACCATGCTACAACCTGCACACTAAAAAGAAACTAATGAGTTGAAAAATCCTCTAAATAATTGTGAAGTTGCTATTTGAAAATCAAAAATAACAGCAACCGAAAATCATTGGGTAGTCTCCTCAATCGATTTTAAATCAGGTCCAGTTCATTATCTTTAAATTTGAACTCATTTGGTTGCGATTTCATACTGAATTGACCCTTTGATGTTTGTATGGGAATTACCATATAGGTGGGTTATTCCCCGCATTCCTTTAAACAGAAACTCTGCAAGAAGAGAAAATCAACCTAATGTATCATTTAGTTGATTTGTTATCGCATTTTCACTAAAAAATATAAGTCTAAAAAAAGTCAGCATCAAAAATTTTAAAATTTGCCTAGAAAAATTATGTTACGGGTCACAATTCCACGTAATGATTTGAGCGATGTTTGTAATTCCGCTCATTAACTATTGTCAAGTTATCTCATGAATCTAATTGTGCTGGTCTTGTGGTAGACCACTGCCAAATGTAATTTTGTCCGATTCTCCCCTCATAGTTGCACATACTAATATATCATGCGGTTATATAGATTGGTGCCATCAATATACAGTTAACTTCGAGAAAACGTCCATTTTGGCTGATTTCCCCTTAATCTTCAAAACTTGATTATTTAAACGGAAAAACAAAATGGTCTTCTAAATATGTAACCTTTATGAACATAACCAGTCATGGATCGCTCTGTTGGGGATTTTTGATTACTTTTTATTATAGAATGCTTACGTAAAACCCAGTTAAATTTTCAGGTAACCCATCATAAAAAAGATAGTTTATTGATCGTTGATAGGGTATACGTCCCTAACCTCGGTCTAATATGCAGCCATCGATTACGTTTTTAATCATAACTCATCAATGAATTTACCTGCAAACGATATTCTACTGCTAAATGGTATGCTTAGATATGCTTATCATGTCGTTTGCTATCAGAAACCACGAAAAGTTGAAAAACTTACTTTTTTTAAGACAATAACTCACGAGGGAAATGTATGTAATATGGGTCTATTGTCCCCAAATTGGGTCTATTTATGGATGCAACTTCGTCCTATCTTGTTTGATCCTCAAAAAAACGCTCTTGGTAACGTTTTCTGATGTATTTTTTTTTATCACTATCACTGTTAACTTAATGCTCTTCATTCCTCAAAACATTTCTTAGAGAAAATTTTACGAAAACTACATTAAATCACTCAATTTAAAAATTAAAAATTAAAAATTTCGCTTATCGTCTTTTGATCGCAGAATATCTAAATCAGAACATTGTGATGTTCATTATACAGGTTTGGCAGAAAAAATCTCCCTTCCTGTTCGTTCCTTATCATCCAAATGCAAAACAACATTGTTGACGTTACTCTTATTGCTATATGCTGTCAAATGAATTTCATGGGCCATAGTTAGGAACATAGAAAAGAAATGTGTCCCTAAAGTTGGGTCCATGTTTTACTTGTGAAAACGTTGTTAAACAATTAAAATAAACATAAAATATTCAAACAGCAACTGTAAGTTTTACGTCTAGTGTGTATTATCAGGTAATTCCAATCAATAAATGCCATAATCAGGCCATTTGATGATCGTCAGTCAACCTTCCCATCTTAACCTTATAAGTCATGGCGGCTAAAAACTCCGAACATTGTGATATTCTCAACCAGTTTTATTACTTACGAGAGCTGAAAATGTATTGAAATGTTGTGATATAAATTGATTTGTGTGTGGTACACATTTATCAACCATCAGTGATCAATATTTTCCTTATTTTTTGTGTAATATTCCTTAATTAATTATTTATTTGCGTGATAGGCCGAATGAAAGGACTAGACCCACATTACATACCGTAACCCTAGTTGATATATCTATCAAAATGCAAAATGTCCGCACCGTAGAGCCACACTCTGTGTTTTCACTGAAAGTTCACTCGTGAGCGCTCTCAAGTGTACCTTCAGTGAAAACGCAGAGTGTGGCTCTGTGGTGCGGGAATTTGGAATTTAGATAGCGAGATCAATAGCATTAAACTATCTATTTTACGATGGGTTAACTGGGAATTCACCTGGGTTTTTCGTAAGCATTCTTTAATAAAAAGTAATCAAAAATCCCCAACAGAGCGAACCATCCCTGCACTTAACTATTGCCAAATTATCCAAGAAATCGAATCGTGATGGTCCTATCTTTTTGTGACGTCTTAAAAAATACATTTTGACTGATCCCTTCCTCATAGTTAAATAAACTCATATATTAGGCGGCTATATACATTTCAGAAACTAATATTAAATTCTCTAAAAAAATTTATGATGATGGTCTTACCTTGGAAGGATTTCAGGAAAGAGTAAATTTTAACTCGAACCTCCCTAAAATTGTAAAAACTTCATAAATCTAACGAAATCTTAGCGGCGCCGGTGGTGTAGTGGTAAGCGTGATTACTTCTCACCCCAGCAGGCCTAGGTTCAATCCCAGTCGGCACCGCCGGGATGTTCTGAGGCATAACATCTCTGATCACGCCTTCCTTCGGAAGGGAAGTAAACCCGTTGGTCCCCGGTTCATGAGTTGATGGGTCCAGGTGTGGGAGTTGCCTTCCTGGCGTCGGTAGCATTGGTGCCCAGCACGGAAAACAAGATCGACGGAAAACAAACCAAAGAAAAAAAAAACGAAATCTAGGATTAACTACACTCAATGCTGTATTTAAGCAATATTTTTTTTCTTTCGATTTTGCCCTCATGCAGGATGAGTTCAGAATTTTGTGAGTATTAAGTTTGGTTGCTGTTTGAGATCACTCGATCAAACATACGATCGAAAAATAATCGCAAAAAAACAGAATGGAGTGTATTGTCAAATTATACAAGAAATCAAATTGTGCTGGTCCCGTCTTTAAGAAACCACTGAAAAACGCTTTTTCGCCCGATTCTCCCCCCATAGTTGAATAAACTCATATATCACGAGTTTATACAAACTGGTGCCCTTAGTATTACACTCTCTTGTGCTGCACTAATGTAAACATTTCCGGAGGATTGAATAACAACAGAGTCCAATATTGGAATGTTATGTGGCTTTAAGGAGTGCCACAATTACGAGTTGACATCTAACAAGATTTGAGCCTGTAAAATATTAAGTTCTAAGCTCCAGGACTATTTGTAGAATCATAGACATTTTTTGGTAACACAACTTTGTGTCCCAAAACATGTTATTGGGCTTTATTAAACTCTAGGGGTTCAAAAATTCTTTCGAGTCATCAGTATAATATATTGTAACCGGTAGAACTTCAAGATCTTAACTCCAGGATAATTCAGAGAACTTTTAATATCACGTTCTTCTGGTCAGGTCTCTTGTTTTAATATATGTTTTTTTTTCTAAATACAGAAAAAAAAAACATTTAGTCTCATCATTTGCAGGAAGCTTTTTGATTTTATGAATTCATATTTCCATGAGTTTATAAACGTGTTCATCCAAAAACATCATTGCATATATTAACTTCATAGTAGACGTTTTGTAGATCAATTCAATGCCAACATTTAAAGAGGTGAAATTATTTTGTGGACAATGGTTTTAGTCGGGTACATGAATGTTTTCTCTACCAGCTGGTATCATTGAATTGCAGGAGTGATCATTTATTTGAGAGATATCGGTGTGTCATTGTTTACAAAAGCAATGGGTGTAATTGTTTACAAAAGCAGTTTCGCCCTAATGAAATGTTGGCAATGAATTGTGCTGAAGAATTTTTATGAAAATGAACGGTGGACAGCTGATTTAATATGGGGGTCATATATGATCAGTAAATTCAAAAATGGCTCATCAAGTCTAGATAGAACTGGAATTAGGGCGTAACAGCTTTTGTAAACAATCTATTCTCGCGGTGATTTATAGAAATTCAAGGCTTGCAAACGCAAATCAACATCCTCATCGGGTAGGGGAAGACTTCCGCTATCCTATGATTATATTGGTTTGCGTGAGTGTGCCTCGAATTCCTAGAAATCATCGAAATAAGTAAATGTTCACAAAAGCTGTTACACCTTAATTTCAGCTCTATCTTAGTGCACCTAGTGCTGCTAGTGAGAAAAAAGTTGGCTTTACATGATATCTCAAGACCCTATTGAACCCGTTCTCGATAAAATTGTTAAGTTATGTATTTGAAACCTCTCAGATAATGGCAAGAATACTTCAGATCTATTGGATCTCTCTTAATTCCGAAATCTTCCAAACATTTCATGCCTGCACATATCTTGAAAATATCCAACTCGAAAGATGTCCCAGACAAGACCGGTAATCGAACCCGCCGCCACCCGGTTTAGAAATATTGTGTCATTACTGACTTGGTTATCTGAGACTCCCGGATACGGCCTCTAAATCTCTTATACAAATCTTCTCTATAAATAAAAATTAAATGGTGTTTGTATGTCACGCTATATCTCAAGAACGGATTGATAGATTATCCCAACGAATTTACATCGTTTGCCGGGTCAGTTATTTAGAATTTTTGACTTCCCTCGTCAATATCATACGAATTAATATTTCTAATAGATGGGGGATTAACTCATCTATCCGATGGTGTTATTACTTTGCTGGTTTGAATGATCGTTCACGAGAAATCGACGATGAAAGTCAAAAGTGACAGTTACGTTATATCGAGGTATACCTGTACATAGAACAATACATTTGAGTACAGCTGAAAGAACCTTTTCTACATCGAAAAGTACAAGACTGTTACACTTCTTTGACCGATATGGGTTTAGAAATGATCGGTTGAGCAACAAACGTTAATTCAGTCCAACCATCTAATAATCATTCTATTTTTTTTCCGTTTCAATTCTTCCCACAGGACTCATCAAAGACGCAGACAAGTTCAAACTGATGCTGCTGGCTTGGAACTACCAGAATTCGGCGGCAGGTAAATGTTAGTGTATCGAAACATCCCTTATTTGAACATATCAATACTTACCTTCGAAACCCATCTGTGAACAGCTCAAAACGGTTCCGAAGGGCCGGATCTTGCCACCATGACGAACCTCTGGCAACAGTATCAGAATGCTCTCGCCATGAACGCCAAGACCTCCTTCAATCAACTACCGATCCCCGAACGTCAACAGCCATCCCCGATTGAACAGCAGGACGAAACAAACTCATCGGAGCAGAAAGACGAAGATGACCTATCGGAAGATGACTCTGAGGATCGCATTGAAGCTACCGTAAATGATCCGGAACGGCTGAAAGCGTTCAACATGTTTGTCCGGTTGTTTGTGGATGAAAACTTAGATCGCATCATACCAATCTCGAAGCAACCAAAAGAAAAAATCCAAGCCATCATAGATTCCTGCACGCGTCAGTTCCCGGAGTTTGCAGAGCGGGCTCGCAAGCGTATACGAACTTATCTGAAATCCTGCCGGAGAAATAAGAAAACCCGTGAGGGATGGGAGAACACTGTAAGTGAGGTTGATCGTAAAGAACATTTTTTTGATTGCAGAGTGAGATTTTACTGAAATATATTGTTTTTGTATTGTAGTCTCGTCCTACGCCGGCTCACCTGACCTCCGTGCAAGCCGAGCAGATTCTGGCCCTGGCTTGTGAAAACGAAAGTCTCAATGCGAAACGGATGCGGATAGGTCTGGAACCCATTAGTCAAGTCAATCAAGCAACGGCGGTAAGTTTTATGGTAAAATGTCCTCTTCCAATCGATGTCGGGAGGAATCTGATATGCGAGTGTAGTGATTGGCTGGAATGTAGCTTCAATTTGGCATCACTTTTTGTTTTAGACATCTGAGCCACCGAACGTTCCGAGTCTGTATCAGAGTATGAAATGTGAAACGGAAACAGTACCTGCAGTCAAAACTGAACCCATGACCAGTGTTCCTAAGATGTCTCCTATTCAGAATACCAGCCCAGATATGAACCAAATGAAACTGTAAGTATTGATTCATCGAAAAATATTCAAACATTGTATTCATTTCGTGGAGAGGTTTGATCCAGTGCTGCAAAATATCTACCATACAAGGTGATACTGGCAAAACACCTTTCATCACAACACTTGTAGCGATCTTTTTTTAGAACCTTTTTTAAAAAGCATAACATTTTACAAAACTTCGTACACTATGGAAATTAAAAAAAAAAACAGTTTGAAAAAAAAGAAATTATTTTTTACCAGGTCGAGAGGTCGAGTTATCTTATGTAGAGAAAATTTATTTTTCACCATCAAACAAAATCCACCGGTCAAATTAGATGTTTAAAAGCACATTAAGTTTATGTTTAACTGTGTACAGTAATATTTGTCTGCATAAGCTGTTCTGCAGCAAACAAATATTATTTGTAGACACTGTTCAATGTATTTTAATACTTTCATATTGCTGCTATTTACGAGAATACTTAAATTGAGGTGATCATTTGACCAACTAAATATATTTATAATTGGTTTAACTGTCAACAATAGAATGTATGGTAATTTCATAATGATTTCATGGTTACTTTCTGAATGAACTGAAATACCCACCGCGTCCATTATATCCCCACCAAGAGTTGATAAAGTCCACGAACAGTTATTTTATACATGCATCTACATGTTTAAGGAGAAAATAGATAAGAACTTTCATTGTAAAACTGATGTAATATGTGTGTTAAAGCTTACCCTACTGTATGAAACAACACACACTATATTTGTATCCTCATAAAAAAGTAAGTGTTTTGGATCTAAACTATAGTTAAATATTTTTTCGTGGTAACGGGTGTTCAATAAAAAATGAGAATGATTCCAGTGCCGTCCAGCGCTCTTGTGAGAGCATCGCGACTTTGTTTTCTAGCTCTCAATTCAAGACCAACAATTGAAATGGCCTTAACTCCATTTTGTAAACAAACCTTGTGAGGCCATTTTCTCGCGAACCGAAGTCCGCAAAGGCAAACCTCTAGCCGATTGTGGTTTAGGTTTGCGAATGAAGGTTTCGGTTCGCGAGAAAATTGCCTTACAAGGTTTGTTTACAAAATGGAGTTGAGGCCATTTCAATTGTTGGTCTTGAATTGAGAGCTTTCTATGGCAACCAATGCATGACTAAGATGTCGGCTCAAAGCTACAGATATTAGGGAATTCACGTATTTTTGTCAATCTAAGCACTAAGTAGTGTCCGCGCTTATATTAGCATTTTCTCAACGTCACGCACACATATGAGATGTTTGATTTTTTTTTTACATTAACTGCTGCTTGCTTATCTATCCATTCCAAGCGACAGATTTGTCCAGAACTGTTTAAAGACGTTTTTACAACGCTGTGCGACTTTTGTCATTAGCCTCTTTTTCTTCGGCAACCTTTCCATTTGAACTGCGTGTTAACCAACTGCTCTATTATCGGCAACTAAAAATCAGACGCATTTTGTAGTGCGTATATTTCATATGATTAAAAATTTAACATAATATGATTCCTCAGTTATCAAAATTTAATCAGATTGAAGCTGAAAGACTAAAGAATCGTTTGAATACATCCAGCGAAGTATTTTGATGGGAAAATACAGTGAAATTAACTTTTAAATTTTGGTTGCAGAAAACAGTCAATGGATGCCGAACCCGACAATTAATCCATATATACATATAAACATATATATATTTTTATTATCTTTTTTCATGGTCTCTTTTTAATACCCTGTGGTCATTCGTGACTCGTCCGGGAAGATATTTGAACCCGTGACTTTGGCGTGAAAGGTATGGATGTTAACCACTGCGCCAAGGCCGTCCTTCTCAGATGAGTGTGACCATTGCCGGCAACCTTTTTATTTGAACTACGTATCCCAAGTAACGAAAAAATCTGATAAAATGCTATTTGAGACTTAAGCAGCTTGGTTGAAGGTGGTGTATAAAATTCTAAGCAGCATTATTTTTAAGTCATTATAAGAACTTGAAAGTTCTGGCACCACAATTGAAGAGCATTCTAAGTAGCTTCTGGCGGAATTTGAACGGCACCATTAGAACATAAGTTAAAAAAAGGTTGTTGTCCTCTACACCAATTTTATGTTTAGTTCGCACTTTTATGAAAGTTAATTCTAAAGTCAGGTCTTTATGAAAGTTATTTCTGAAGCCAGGTATGAACGTGTATTATTTTATCAGCATGAGTAGTAGTATTAGAGCTGTTTGAAGCATTAAACCCAGTCTTCGGTGAGAGCTGCAGCACGAACCACTACGCCATCTGAAATATATAAAAGTGAGCTGTTGTCCCGCCTTCTGTTGGCGTTTTTGGAGTAGATAAAATTTTGTTACTAATAAAGACTTGTGTGGATTGCTTCATGTAGGCTTTGACGGACCTTTTTAGAAACTTTCAAGTTGCTAAGAAGTTCCGCTTGGAACTTGCTCGAAACTTTGTTGCAGTCATGTTTTCAGCCTTTCCTGAAGTTTCTAAGAAGTGCATAGGGATGCTTTTTGGATCTTTTTTTGAACATCAAGTTTCTAAGAGTATGCATCGGAACTTTTTGGAGCCTGAAGTTCGTCATGTGCTTTCTATAGCTTCTAAAGTAGCCAGGAAGTTCTGTTGGTATTTTATATGCAGTTTATGGAACTTGAAAGTGGGTTTTATCGTGGAATTCGGAGCTTTTGTTTGCTTGGGATGAAAGTTCTGTCGGAACTTTTTTTGAACTTTATGGAACTTGAAAGTTTTGTCGGAATTTTATTTGAACTTTCTGGAACTTTACAGTTCTGTCGGAACTTTATAGAACTTGAAAGTTCTTTCAGAACTTTATTTGAACTTAATGGAACGTGAAGGATCGGTCAGAACATGATTTGAACTTTATGGAACTTGAAAGTGGGTTTTATAGTTGATTGCGGAACTTTTGGTTGCTTAGTATTAAACTGTTGCAACTCAAAATCAGCAGCATTTTGTAGGGCGTATGTTTCCATTCACCAGGTAACATGTGTTTGCGCAGTGGTAAGAATCTTAACAGATTGAAGCTGAAAACTAATCGTTTGAATACATTTAGCGAAGTGTTTCTGTGAGTATATTAAGTGAGATTGATGATTCAATTTTGGGTGCTGAAAACAGTCACACGCTGAAGCCGTCAGCTATCCTATCACCTGGTATCACCTATTCTGAGACACCCTGTAAAAAAGGTCAGTTAAGTTTTCATATAGCACTCTTGACCTGAAAATATATTTTGTGATTAGCTCAGTTGAAGACTGCCACCGCCTGCAAAATGCGCTAAACCTGTTTGTTGACTGGTGCCATCGGAACAAGTTTATTATATGTATACCGAAGTGTTCTGTTATGACGTTTCATCGTTCAAAACCACCGCTTCGATTATCGCATGAACGGTATTTCCCTTCAAAGGGTTGAGGAAATTACTGATCTCGGAGTTTTGCTGGATCCAAAATTGACGTTCAAGTCTCATTACACTTCGATAATTTCCAAGGCAAATCGACAACTTGGCTTTATTTCAAAAATTGCGAAGGATTTTTCTGATCCTTACTGCTTGAAGTCTTCGAACTGTATCGACTGAGCTAAGGGAGGCCACGATGCTCAACAAATACAAATACGAAGATTGCTTTACCGGCCTCATGGAGCGAAGAGCCTCTACAAAACTGAGAAGAAGAAGAACTAACGATAATGTAATTTTTAAGCTAGGGTAGGTATGCCAGTTTTTGGCTTTAGTAGTCGTCTTATTGACCCACTTTTAAATTTCAAATTTCATGATATCCAAAATTTATTTCAATGCAAGGTTAATTGATATATTTTGCGATACATCTGCGCAAATAAAATCATGGAAATTTATTTCAAAATTAATTTAGGTCCTAGGGCCAAAAACTGGAGCACTTGGGCTATTTCACAGCTTACTCGAATGTCGATACTGTTATTTTTTCTAACTTACTAGCCTGGTAATACATCTGAATCTCAATCAGGCATGGAAAATCATTTACAATAATTTCGTGCATTAATTTAAATTAATTTGCTTTTACTTTTCCATCAACATTTTCCTTAAAATGATACATAAAGATTGTGTAGGTTTTGATATTAGCTACAACTTTTTACAGTAACTCAAATCTGTATATTTTATGCATAATAAACCAGAGCGATCAGAACCCACCATTAAGTAACGCTCTAGTTTGTCATGCATGAGAGATACAGATTTCAAAATCTACAAAAGCTTCATACTTCATACATTCATACATTACGGAAATCTGTTCACGAAAGAAGTTAGCGGTAAAAAAATGTAAAATAATGCAGGAAATCCTCCTCCTCTGATCCTATCCTTCGACAATGTATCCCTCTAACATCGGGTAAGCTGCGAGTATTCAGCGCAACTCCTAATAGACATAGAAATAAGTGAATTGTGTTACAAACAATGAACATTGAACTATCGGCTGCGTAAAGCTAATGTGATTGAGCATTCCAATTTAAAAATGTACGAAATAATTGTAAATGATGTTCCATGCCTATATCTCAATACAAATTATAAAAAAATGGCAAAGCAAATATTTACAAATTCAGCAGTTCATACTATGTAGTGCTGGTGAGATCTCCCCAACTAACATTTTCAGCTTTATAAGCCAACTTTTCCAGCGTTGTGCTGTAAAGCAGCTGAAAAAAAGCTGCAGGTACAGCTACAAGCAGAAGCTAGCAAAATAGTTTTGGAGAGTGTTTACTCAACTTTTTCACAATTATTATTCAATTTGTCAGTCGCACTGAATAACAACAGCCAATAAACGCTAATGTCACTGTTATACACATGCTAATCAACTTTCAATCTGTAGCTGCAAAACAAAGCTATTAAAGTGAATTTGTTACTCATTTGATGGCTTCTACACAACCAATCACAAACAACTAAACAAACTATACTCAGCTAATAAACTGTATTAGCGCTACTTTGGAAGCATTTTTACAACCAACTAGGTTTATTTTTAGACGTGTGCAGTTTTACAGCATTTTCTCTGCTCCTTTACAAAACTGAGAAAAGTGATTCATGTGCACCCCAGGTAACAAATTGATGCTTAACAAGTGTTCTTTCAACGATTTTAATTCAGTCTTAGTTTGAATAATTGTTGCACATAGACCCCTTTAGCCTTTGTTCAGCTTTTAAACATCTAAAACTGGTGATTTTAATCAGCCCAAAGCTTAGCAGGAATATTAATTATAAGCTTTTCAAGGCAATAACCAACAGTCTTTTCCAACCCTTGTTCAGCCTTCTTGTTTTATAAAAAAAAATGTGGAAGACCGCTTCATATCTTATACTTTTTATGAGACTGCTTTAGAATGTTGCTGACTAATTGGATTTACAAATTTATATTGTTATAATATGTCTAAAAATTACCTTTCATTTCGGGATTCAAACCAGCAGTCGCTGATTCATAGGCGTTAACAATACCCACTCGACCCCAGAAGCATATTTGTGACAAAAGGTATGATTATTAACTTGAAGCTCGTCAAAATTAAGTTGAATGATAGCAACCGGAAGAGTATTATCATAGAGGTAACTCTAAGACAAGAAGGTCGCGAAGAAAAGTGCTCAACTTTTTGGCTCAGCTCTTCGGTCCCAAGCTAATCGATTCACCCCTCGAAACATAGGAAAATCCACGAACCCCTCATTTTATCTGTCAAAATTTCATAGCGAATCAAAACAAACATTGCGTAGTACTAGAATTTTGACTAGAATGGGGTCCGTTATTCGATTTGCTTGGGACCAATAGGCTAGTCAAGTAGTGAGCCAATTAAAAAATCGTTAGTTTCGTATTGATTATTGGTATTATACAGCAATGCAGAATTGTAAACAATAAATTGTGACAGTAAAACATTCCTCTCATTTCAAGTGCAGTAAACACAATGTGGACACAAGTGCGGGATGTATTTTGATGCTATTTTAGTGCTATAATAGAATTATATTTTTGAAATTATATTTTTGAAAATTAAGTGCAATATAAAGTTGTGAACAGACAAAACACAGAAAAACAAACGTTAATACTTCCAACGTCGTGGCAGTCCACTTCTAGGTGGAGCCATTCTTAAAAAACTTCTCTCCATTATCTCTACTGCTGGTGCTGCTTGGGATTAGAAAGGTAGGCAGTGAATTTAGAATAACTAAAATGTCGAAAATGCAACAAAAGACACTGACGACATTTAACAATATTGTGTAATAAATTAATATTATTGTACCAGGCTATCAAGATATTTGTAGCGCATGGCTGGTTTATGGAGTAGTATTAGGCTTAAATAAGTCTTGATCAGCCTTTAGATCAGCTAACTTACTGAGGTTGAATTATGGGGATGCAATTCGCTTTATGCACTTCCAATCAACTATATATTCAGCTTGGTGTTAATCAGCTTCGTACACCTTAAATCAACCAATAATCAGCTTCTGTTCTTACAATTCAGCTTGAATTGTTACTTGGGACTATTATAAAGCCTCTACTCAGCGATTTTGTTGTAGAAGGGCATATTGACTTGTTTACATAATTTCAAAGTGTTGACGTAGCACAGTTGGTAGTGTCAAGGTTTGCCAATGCGGTCGTCTCGAGTTCGATTCCAGCTGCCGGTGCGGGGTAAATAATTTGATGGTGTGCTTTGTAAACTAATTTCGATGAAAAAAAAGCAAAAAAACTCAATAAATTCCTTCATTAAAAAAATAGCCGGAATTTATTATTAACCCGGCTTCAAGAGAAAGCTGTGTAGTGATTGTTGGATAACCGGGAAAAGGTTGAACAAGTGCCTTTCAAGTTCACACACAACTAAACAGCAAGATAACAGCTGTATAGAAGCGTTAATGGATATGCAATAAGAGCATATCCCAACCGTCCTAACAGCCATAAGTAGCTGACTAAGTTCGCCAGATTTGCTTGTATAGAGGTTGAGTAAAGGTTTCCTCATATCGTATAACGTTTGAATACAGCTTGAGGCTGTACTGTAATGAGTACACATTGTGAAAATTGTTAGTTGGGTCTTGCTTGCATAATCAGTTCCTAATGTATTAATGTGATAAAAATGATAATATTGAATTTTCACATAATTTATGTGAATAGAACCAAAGTTTGATCGATATTAATAAAGTTTGAAATTTTACTAGCACCCATTTTTTTGCTCAAAGTAGTGTTTCAGGGTTATAAACAGCAATGCAAATAATTGTAAAAAAATGATAATTATTCAATCTAATCTAATCTAATCTAATACCAACGCAACCAGTACGAGAAAGCATCCTGGAAAATTGTTAGGTTAGATAACGCCTTTTTCTTGTCAAAATTAATATTTGCAGCATATCAGCGATATGACACAAACATCAAAACGGCCAGGCCTTCTGCGTTGCATTTGCTGCAAGGATGATTCTGTGAAATGATCCGAGTTTAAATAAATATATTTAAGCAACGATGCATTTCGTGAATCTACAGGGGTGGAAGGATGCGTGGACATACCGTACCAAATGCTCCGAGTTATGTAAGAGTGCATTTAACAATCATATGTGATGTAATGAATGGTTTATATAATATAGTATAATTGAAGGATCTCACCAGATGCCTCCAATGTTCCCCAAATTCTTAATTTATAGATAAAAATGGATTGATCCCCCCAATCTGATCTGCTTGATCTGCATAAACTTTTCCGGACTTCTCTATTCCACAATTTTCTCCAGTAGCCTTTGTGTGTTGTCCTCCGCCAAATTCTTCGGCTTCATCACACTGTTCGCAACGAAGCCGTATACGGATCTTCGTTCTCTTCTGTTTTCTTCTTCATACCGCGTTTGCCAATCAGCACTAACTGTAGTTCAACCACCTCTTCCCATTTGAACCAAAAAATCACTTCGCGGCTTACAAAACGACCCGAAGGATCAAGGAATTTATCATCGTAACGATGTTTTTCACAGATCACGCTTTTTACACCGACCGGAAGGAAAATGTTCGTTTGAACTTTGTGCAAAAGATTGACAGCGCAAGAAATCTGAACTGTCCACTAGCAGAGCCTACTTCGATCTCCATTAAAATGATAATTATTGAACTTCCATAAACTAACCTAAGCTTCATTATTTATTTTTTTCCTTCTCAGGAACATCCCAAGTGCCAGTGCCAGCTCCACACCCACCATTCCAACTACTGTGCCAACAATATCCAACTTCCACGATTATAACACTGGTTTCACAAATCGATCACAGCACTACCAGAACTTCATGAACTCGGCCAACAATTCCACCAGCACGAGTACAACCATGTCTGCTACCGGTACTGGTAAGCGCTTCAATCGCTGCACGAAAGCTTCATTTCCCCCTCGTATGCATCGGAATAATTGTTGTACCGTTTACATTTCAGCACCCACCGACCTGTCGATGAAGCGGCCTATCCTGACACACAAGCTTAACAGTGCCGAAATTACCGCCGTCAAGCAGCTGGTGACCGGCTATCGAGAAAGTGCGGCATTCCTGATGCGAAGTGCTGACGAGTTGGAAAATCTCCTACTACAACAGCAGTAGACCCGTGTACACTTTGTAGCGGTTGAAGTTATTTATTTATTTTTTATGTAATGGAATGATGAAAGCCAAAACTAAACACAAACTGAACGTTACTTTTATAAAATACCAAAAACTACCTGTGCGGTAACACTTTAGATGATACAAAAACTAACAACAAAGAAACGAAATCAGTGTCGTAGTTATTTTTAAGTTCTGTAAAAAGTGTTAAATAAAAACGTTAGAAATTAAAATTTTCGAAAACTTGCGAAAAAACATACAAAACACAGGGTGATATAGAACTACAAAGAAATTATATTTATTTTTGTGCCGATTTGATGAGAATAGGAATACTATTAGGAGGAGGCACACGAAGACAATGGATTCAAAAGGATTGCGCTGAAATCTTTTGAATCAGATGCTACTGCGAGTGCTACTGTTGATAAAACATACTACTATGTACAGTAATTGCAATTTGCCAATTTACCAGAACTTACCAATTGTAACAATTAGAAATGCAACCAACCAGAATTATCTTTAAATATTGAGTAATTTTCAGGAGCCCTTCAATAAAACTACCACATTGGTTACCTTAGCTTGAGTGTGTCTGCTTATTTTCTCATGAGAAAATCGCCTCCTCACAATACTTTGTGAAACATTTCGACAGTCATACTTGCTAAGTACAAAGCTTACGTTGATCGAGCTTTGGTTAAAAATGTACTAAAGCTCACTCTCACTCACTCTCTTCGAAAAGCAACCCGAATGAGTGCACTCTGAGCGCGAGAACAAGCTTTCGGCGCGATATAAACACTTGGAACGCCGTTTAAATGGAATCGGGTGCGGTTTACGTCAGAAGTAAAAGAGCGTAGGACTACTGCCTGCTGGACTGGTGGTGCTGTCTCGAGTCAAAGCAAACTAACGAAAAATTGCAACCCATAGAATTAAGCTTTCTTGTGGCAGAAATGGCAAAAACCAGTTTGGTCACTTGTTTGTTTGCTGCTGCCATCATGTGTGCGCTGGTTCAGTTGTAGCACTCTCGGGTATGGGGCGTTTAGGGTCTACTTGGTTCGGTTAGGATTGAAAACGTGACGTGGTGAGTGGAATGGAGTAAGTAAACTTAAGAACTAATAGAATTTTCGATTTGTTTCAAATTTTTAAATGTTATCAACTCTAGAATAATCTCAAGCTTACGAATGAACAAGACTGTATTGCGGAAACGGTATAACATAAAACTTTCTACATATTTGGCTTGTACTTGTAGTGGCCTACGTGATTTAAATAGGTAGGGCCAAAAATGGTACCATTGCGTATATGGGATTGCGTCTTATCTGGCTCATTACCCAAGATGACACACTGTATTATATTTTCCTATCACCTTGGATGTTTGAATGCTTTGGAATAAATATAAATGATAAATAAATGTTATCATTGATTTTTCCTATTGATTCATTGATAGTCGTATCTCAGCTTTTTTTTTATTCATGCCATAATTTTATCAAAATTGAGCGTATGGGCAATTTTTTGAAAGACTGTGAGTAGATAGATTTTTGAAATCTTGGCTAGTGGTTGAACAACTATTTATTGATTTAACAGTAGAGCTTTGGACTTTATTTACAGAGTATGTATGAAGTTTGAGTAATTTCAGTAAATCGGTCAATTTACAACGTTTTTCATAGTAGGCGGATTTTAGTAAAATTAGAGGCATTTTAATGATCTTAATTATGACTACAGATTAGCACAACTTTTGGCGCATTGTATTTCAAAACAATCTTTTTTTTTTTCTTTATTAACGATTGAAAATCTTTTTTTTTTAGGAAAACTAATTTTTCTAAAATAGCTGAGTGATCGAAGTAGGCCGCGCTGTGAAAATGATGTGATTTTGTTTTGCTGCGTCGTTTTCGTTCTAGTGAAAATGCTATGAATTCACAATTTCATTTTTAAAAAGTGTTAATTTGAAAGTACAGAAGTGCTGTGGAAAAGTGCATTAAGTGAAAATTTTCAAATTCTTATCTGTTGCATGTGGTGCCGACTGTTCTAACCTACGCATAGTTACGCTCAGCTAAGTTTATTTACCTTTTCGTTCCTCTGTCCTCGATAGGAAATATCCATCTAATTCAAGACGATCATTTCAAAACTTACTAAATACGCGTCAATCAAGTATTGCACTACTACTCGATTGAAAGTTTGAGTACATTATCAATGGTGTATATTTGCATCGATAATGTATTGGAGCGGGGCTTATCATGTGTGAAAATAGCTTCGGAATGCTTGCGTTCTTGAAATGGGCTATTGTAGCTGCGATACAGCTGTCACCTTCTAACTCCCGGGTTCAAGCTTCTTGCATTCATAAGAAATGATTGCAGGCAGATTTTATCCATAATGCCACTGCCAGACAGTGGAAGTTAGGCCAAGGGCGAATCTTCATTCTAATCTACGATTCCACATATTATTAATAACCTTTTACACATGAGAACATCCAATCAATCAGAATGAAAGGAGGATGTTCGCAAAGGAGCAATAGGATCTAGCTGATAACGTATCTTAATTCAAAAATCTGAAGACTGTTTTGAATAATATGTTTAGGTAATGTGCAACAACAGCAACAACGGACAAATAAACTACTTACAGCTTCTAGTTATTAAATGCTTGATATAAAGATTGCTAGCAATGCCGGCTGGGCGTATCCTACACGGTAACCGCAAAATACCCAATAATGACTACAAAGTAAGCATTTTCGATGTAAACAGGGACTACCCATTAAATGAGTAAAATATTACCCATTTATGAGTAATTACAACCACAAAAATAAGTAGTAAGTATTCATTTGTGAGTAACAAATACTCATAAATGGGTAATCTTTTCACTTATTTAATAGGTAGTCCCAGACTCTCTCGAAAATGCTTATTTTGTAGTCAATATCGAGTCTTTTATAGTCATTATTGGGTATTTTGCGGTTACCGTGTAGGATACGCCCAGCCGGCATTGCTGGCAATCTTTATATCAAGCATTTAATAACTAGAAGCTGTAAGTAGTTTATTTGTCCGTTGTTGCTGTTGTTGCACATTACCTAAACATATTATTCAAAATCTCCCTACTAACAAAAATCCACCCCAAGCAACACGGCTTGTCATAAAGAAGTTGAAAAAACTTTTTAATGACTTACGTAAAGAATCAATAATACTGTCATATACGTCATTTAATACATTTATATAACCTTAAAAGCGCAAGACGCGGAGCTTATACAACTAAATACTGGTCTTATAACATGTTTTGGAAACATCATAAAAACAGCGGCAAAAAAAAACTTCAACATGGGATTCGATCACTGGTCCTTATTACTTCCTAACTAGACCAACTCCACTTTTTTTTTTTTTTTTCTATTAATTTATTTGATAAGGCTCAACCGAATTAACTTTACAGAGCCGAGGATTCTTGTTCACTATACAATACATCTTAAAACTATAGTTAAAAGGTACAACACAATAAACATTTTATCTTCCGCTATCCAATAAGCTTCCTCCACGAGAACGGGAGCCGCTTCCAGTGGTTTACTTGTATGGCAGAGCCAACGAGGGTCAGAGCACTTCCATTGCAGCAATGGACGCAAAACGTGGTCAGCACTCACACATTCATCACAAAACGGTTGTTTTCCAAAGTCGACGACGCATCGACTGAAAGAACTGCTGATGAAGAACAATGAGGAGGACCACACAATGGTTGCTGCCGAGTAAACAGACGATCGCGTGACACACATTAAGAGTGGTCTGCTTCTGTCGACAGCCGAGTGAACACTGTCCAACTCCACTTGATGAGAGATTTGTTATATGTATCTATCATTTTCTTGCCAGGCTTGCTTCCTCTCACTTGCTATAAAAAATTGTTTTTCGGAATTATGAAATCATTAGATATTATAATGATAGTTATTAGTTAGTAGTTGTAAGTCACAAGATAAGGTTGTAAACTAGGTGTTTGACACATAAAACCTGTCATTATTGCTTTCAGTGCGTCACAATCAGCGATTTTACGATTCGTGAGCGCTCACTCTGAGTGAACGCTCACGAGTCATAAATTCGCTGATTGTGACGCACTGAAAGCGAAATTGACAGGTTTGATGTGTCAAATACATACCTTCCAACCTCTTCTTGTTTCTTACAAGTACAAACTTTCATAATAGCATTCAATGATTCCATAATTCCGGAAAACATTTTTTATAGCGAAGTGAGTGGAAGTAACCCTGGTTCTTGCCAATGGCATGAAAATTATATTCTCGTTCAACACGCTTTCGATGCGTCATAAAGATGTTTTGTTAGCAGCAAAGCGTACATATAATTGCCAAAGTGTTATTTTAAAGTATTTTCAACTCCTTATAAGACAACCTGCACATTTTCAGTTATATTAATTTATGAGATGTCATACACGAGTGTTTTCAACTTTCTTTATAACAAACCTCCGAATACCTCAAAGGAGCAACAGGATCGAGCTGATAACGTATCTTAATTCAAAAATCTGAAGACTGTTTTGAATAATATGTTTGGTATAGGCAGCAACAACGGACAGATAAACTACTTACAGCTTTTATTTATTAAATGCTTGATATAAAGAATGCCAGCAACGTCGGCTGGGCGTATCCTACACGGTAACCGCAAGATACAAAATAAATGACTACAAAGTAAGCATTTTCAAGGTAAAGCGGGACTACCCATTAAATGAGTAAAATATTGCCCATTTATGAGTAATTACAACTACAAAAATAAGTAGTAAGTATTCATTTGTTAGTAAAAAATACTCATAAATGGGTAATTTGTTCACTCATTTAATGGGTAGTCCCAGTTTCCCTCGAAAATGCTAACTTTGTAGTCAATATCGAGTCTTTTATAGTCATTATTGGGTATTTTACGATTACCGTATGACTTACCCTCCCTACTAACAAAAATCCACCCTTCTCATGACACTTATGAGGGGTCGTAGAGTTCTCTGCATCTCTCTTAAGTAAGTGTCGGACTAACATTCGTCCCCTTTTCCCACCAGATGCAAGGACGTGGCCAGGACAGCTCTGGTCTGTTAGAGGGAGACACATCCTTTATCTAAGAGGTAGTAATTAATCACAAATTACCATCTAACAGCAACGGATGAAGGTGGGTCTCCTTCTTAACAACAGTTTGGAGCTCGTACCACCTACGACACTGTGAAACCTGGTTTATGCTATTTTATGCTATCTAGTTTTTCTAAAATAGCTCTAATTTCTTACACACTCATCCAAATAAACCTAATTCTATACCGATAACCAATAAATGGTTGATGAGTCAGCAGTCAACATTTAGAAATCTTTCTTTTTAAGTTGGGCTCGTACAGCTGATTTTCTGAAATGTACGAACAGCTGCTCAATTTTGAGATACACTGTATATCTGAAAACCAGCAAAGTTTTGCTAGACTTTGCAGTACAGTAATGACCAGATTTTGACAGCCCTTCGGCGCATCAGACTTTTATCTTTCAATAGTTTCACAAAACTTAAATTCAAAATATGTCTGATTCATCTTCAAGATGGACGTTTAAGGTATAGTATGAAAAAAAAAGGTTTCGTAGAACACTTGAAC